TCGTATCATATATCCCCAGATAGCCTGGATCTGAGTGCATATTATTGGCGAATAGCGCTCAGATCCCATACGCATAGTTCAATCGCCATGGAGTCAAAGTCTATTACAGTTCTTCGGTATGCGATTGACTCCATGGGAAGGCTATCCCATTCGTGCCTTTAAACCTCCCGAACGGCCGGTGTTCGCACACTTCTGTCGATTGAGAAGGGAGGTCGACGGCTTCAGCGGTGTTCGGTTGAAAAGGTGTCCGTTTTCAGTTCCATTAAATCAATGCCGAACACCGCTGGTTTAAAATGGCCGCCGCCTCGTGGTTGACATACGAACGACGACCACCCTGTATTCGGTTTTAATTGAGAAGTGTGGTTAACCGCAACGTTCTAATTGGGATCAATAGGTTAACCAGCAGCACACTTCTCTTCTGGGTGGCCGTCCGTTCGGCAGTTTTGTTCGGCAGAAAAGTCAATTCACTTGAACAAAGGCATACGAACGGGTAAATTCGTGAAAAAGGCAAAACAGACGAATCCAGCAATCTTAGTCTATACAGATGGATCTGTCACAATAACAGACACCATATTTCAGCTCCCTACATCCCGCATGGGATGGTCTTAACTGTGCTGAGGAAGCATCTACTCCTGCCAAACGAGCTCCGGTCACAGAGAGCGTTGCTGTGTGTTACCATGGCATCACGCTAGCATTGCGTAGTTCCAGAGCTCAAGGCATAAGAGCATTATTTCTACCTGGTAGATGGTTTCAGTCCACTGGACTACTAGGGAACTACTTGTCCCCCCTCCGTGTCCACAGGTATAAAGAGGGTGCGGGGAATAAATGTTTCTCTCCCTGTTTTTTTTCACCCCCATAATTAATTATTTAACCCCCCCTTCCCACACTAAAGTCCCTATACTAAGCCCCAATCACACATTTACAGACACCACACTATAGTCCCTATACACATAGGCGTGTGCATGGGGTGTGCCGGGTGTGCCTGGGCACACCCTAATCCCCGCAGCACGCGCTATGTGCCTCCCTCCGTGGGCCGGTGAGGGAGATCAAAGATCTCCCTCACCAACACACAGGCAGGGAGGGAGGCAGGAGTTAGAGTTCACTTTCCACTGGACCACCAGGGAAGGCAGGAGCACGGTCCCCCCTCCCTACATAAGGTAAGAAGGGAGGGAGGATATTAACTAAACGGCCCCCACACCCCCACACATTACACACAAACATATAGCACACACACATACATCACCCTTACACACACAGCACACACACTAGCAGCACCCTCACACTAACAACACCCTTACACACACAGCACCCTCACACACACAACACCCTTACACACACACAGCACCCTTACACACCCTTACACACACACACTAACAGCACCCTCACACATACTCACACACAGCACACACTAACAGCACCCTTACACACAGCACCCTCACACACACAGCACACACTAACAGCACCCTTACACACGCAGCACTCTTACACATACACAGACACAACACACACTAACAGCACCCTTACACACACAGCACCCTCACCCACACACAAAGCACACAATAACAGCACCCTTACACACATAGCACCCTCACACACACACACTAACAGCACCCTTACACATACACACACACAGCATACACTAACAGCACCGTTACACACACAGCACCTTCACACACACACAACGCCTTCACACACACAGCACCTTCACACACAGTGCCTG